AGATGGACGACCACCAGCTGAAAAAGAGAGAGCATATGGCATGAGGAACTGTTGGTTTTGGCCCACAAACGTCAATTACTTTTTCTAGATTACGCTTCAGCACGCGCCGCCCCCATTAGGCTAAAAGCTTCCTGTTCTGCGGTTTTCCGTATGTTCATCGGGCCAAACCTCCGTCAACATATAGGATTGGGCATACCCGCTGTCAAATGCCGCATAGAGTTCAATGAAGGCAAATGGAATATGATTATAAATATTGGAAACTGTAGTGACCACTTCTGGCTTACTATACATCCGGAAACATCCATAAATTAAATCTACTACGGACGGAATACAATAACTCCAACTAATATATTTCTCTTTAGTAGCACAATATCTCTGCGCTGTGTTGCTCTTCTTCAACAGCAATTCGTGAAGTAGATGTAGTGAAAATCGCCGTTCCTGCATATCCCTGATGTGGAGCACACAGTGGATCTCATCGAAACTGACAGCCGAACTGTCAATTTAGGTGAGTGGGGAGAAGAAAGCCAGATTCCCTACTGTGAGAACTCTTGATGTGGACGTATTCTATTAAAAAATACAACAGGTTTCTCGGATTCGAAATATTACTTCAAGCGAATCACTAACACTCACTTCGAAAGTCATTTGCGCTCATTTTAAACATTCTTGTGACACAACCTGGCGCGCATAATATAAGCGGCTGACAAACTGACAAGCAAAACAATGAGCCTGACAAAGGGCAACGCAGGTCTGATTAATGTACTGTTTGTGAGGAGTAGTTATTAGTCCACTGCAACAACTGTGGCGAGGATGCAGGATTGCTGACGTATTCATATCACGTCTTTATTCAACACCCTGTCGGTTCCAGGGATAAGGTCAGATAAGGACGGCTAGAAACGGGTGTGGACGTAGTGACAGAGGAGAGCGAATTCACCTCTACTAGTGTTACTCTCGCCTTCTTACCTTCACTCACTCGAGCCAGAATCCACAGGGGTCTCTCGGATATCCAGTTGTTGAATGTGGTCAGTAAGGCGACATTCGGCAAGCATTGTACCTTGACCCATACTTTGAAGTAGAAGTGACTTGGCCGATCAATTCTCAACTCTACGAGCTGCGACCTACAACACCCGTGCTATTTGGCAAACAGGATAACTGAATAACTGGCGCGAGCCCTGAGACAGCAAAACATATGGGAAATGGGAAACCCCGAGTACTATAGATTGGCTTGCGCTAACTTCCAGGAAGGATACGCATACCCATGTTCTAACACTAATCCTAACGTTACTCTTAACCGCAACTTTAACCCTGACCTTAATCCTATCTGATCGCAAACGAAACCCTGACTGCCAAGGACGTTAGCGCAAAGACAACCGGTAATGCAGACTGGGGTCCCTATTCCCGTGTTCTGTCAAATATGCTTTCCAAAATATTTTCCCAATAGTTTCTTCATTGTATTGAAGGCTCAGTTGCCGTCCTCAATCTCATGTTTTTTGAAGCTATAACGAAATTACCAGGTCAGTTTTGGAAATCGGTTTCAAAGGGACTTACTTTGATTAATGGCGAATGCAGTTTCATACTCGTAAACCTAGAGGCGAAGTAAAAGAACCTGCATTAGAAGCATCTGAAGAAGATACTGGAACTCTTAACTCCAAAAGCTGTCTGTTGTTGAAGCAAGTAAACAGCAGACGTCCTATACTGCACTCAGTCGTAGGTGCGAATAAAACATGTAGGCTAGGCCTATAGTAAGGTAAGCAAAGTGTTTCTATTTAGCAAGCAAGAACTTCCTTGGATGTCGATCAAATGTTTTAAAATACACATTTGTGATGCATAGTAATCAGTTTGTTCATACATCGTTATTCGCTTAAGAAAATCACCAATCAAATGAGCGGCAAGGCGCACTTGGAAAGTGTTTACAAAATATAATTCGCATAGTCAGTCTCGAATGATAGGAGATTGATTAATTTTCACAACAGCAGGACTTAAATACAGTTGTAAAAGTCCAGCAATCGAATAGGTCGATTGCTAGCACCAATGAGGCCGTGAGCATAGAACCTAGGCCCCACTGTGTGGCACTGGTAGAAAAAGATAGTATGAAATATCCAGCATTGGAGTTCATAATTTGGGAGGAGGCTAGGAGAATTTTTGGATGGGCATTGACCTAATTTCGCGTGCACGTTCACCCTCTCACGACTGCGAGCACGTGTGCATCAGTGTTTGCCGACCCCAGACCGGTCTGGCAAATCACCCCTCCCCTTCAGGCTGACGCACAGAGGACCTCACTATGGCGACTGCCGCGCACTTACACTTCGGACGTGGCCCTCTCATGAATAGTCGTGCACTCGTCCGATTGTCAGTTCCCTCCAATCTAATTTCCATTACCTCTCTACAGAATATACTATCGCTTCCACCTGGCGTCCAATTTCTTCTTCGCCCAAACGGAACCGGACCTCAAGATCGCAACGGCAAGGGTTTACCCCATTAACTTAAAACACTGCAATAGATTTACCCAACGACGTCATAGTGACTGCACCACCGGAAGATCTTACAGCTGGCTGCCTAGACGGTTCGAGCTAGATCTAACAATGAATATTCTTTCGGTCAGCTCGGAAAGATCGCAGCATAGATGGATAAAATTTATCGCATAAACTATTGAACTGAGACAGTAGCCACTGGACAGCAGTCCTGAAACGTCGATGACACTCGCGGACTCTAACAAATTATTCGCCAAGTTAGTGGCGGGCCCCCGTACTGGCTGACTCCGTTTGTGATTTAGTGGACTACAATTTTTCGGATAAATCGACTTATGCTATATGTTGGCGCGTGCAATTCCGGGAAGAATGGTTGATTCAGTATGAAGCTGCGCAAAAAGCAATGTTCCCTGAGAAGAGGACGGTACTTCCACTAAAATCTATAAGTCGTCAACAATCAGGTGATACAAATAAAGGGAAGTAGATGCAAAGACTAGAAGATATTAAGACTACGGTGTATCTTTAATTCCGCTACGAGTAACAGCAACCAACAACTGCCTACTTCGTTGTCTTCGCCGCAGCGTTTGATTCCGTTAACCACGAGTCACTCTAGCTACTAATTGAACGCGATGGTGTGCTAGCGAAGCCCATTGCTCCCCTACTGCGGTAGGTCGTGCCCATAAAAATCTCACCCAAGCGTTCAATATTAGGTTAGACGTTAGATATTGTCGTACTCTGTCCTTTATTCTGTTAAACTACCATATTTACAGGGTTCTCGAAGGGATCCTACATGTATTTGCCAGCGTTGTGTGTGCCGCCACCGGGTGCCGGCTGACCTCGTTTAAGCTGACGATAGTGCCAGCTCTGATTGCCCACGAATACTACGCGCACAGACAGATGCAAACGAGGTGCGAAAATACGAAATACGGGCTTGGGACAACGAACACAGCCAATGTAGACGATTCAATGGTTGTTGCCATCCCGACACCACCGAGTAGGCAAGTTTGCGGCCCGCGTCAAAGCTCGAAACAGCCTTTGACAGAAAACCCCACAAAAATAAAATCCGGAAGTTGTTGGGTACCAATAATAAAAAGGAACGAATACTTTATCTGCGTCGGGAGAGTTGCTGTATCCCTCTGTTGAATAAAAGAAACATTTAAACACTTTTGCACCTCAATCATGCCTTTCCTCTGCCAAATTCGTAGCTAAATTGCATTCATTTGTAGATATTGCAAACGGAAAAACAGGTAACACTGTTATTTTCTCACGAATTTTGGGCGCGAGGCGAACTGTTATTTTCGTCATTCAACAATGCCTCCAAAAAGACTTGTTTAATTATACTTAGGACTTGTACTTCACTAGTCTAGTTTAGGCTTTTATAAAGTTCTAGTTTTTTTCAAAGATCTCCAAAAATTAATTACTAACTCTGGGTAAATTTGGGGAAAATTAAGATGTATAGGCTCATCAAGAAAGGCCATATTAATATTTGAGGCGGAATAACCACATAATATTCATAAAATGTCAACAGGCGGTCAGTTAGATACATATGTTCTGTAATTTGTCGTATATCCTGATAAGACAGATACAAGTTAAAAATATAGACATTTGGTTTGCCGATATTCCGTCGCTGTAGGGCACAGCTGTGAGGACTTCGGCTCATCAATAGGGCACCGAGCATTCCCCATACACTGTCTGATATTCACTCCAGTTTTCAGCTTTTTTTAAATTTCCTCATAAATTTAAAATCTGGAGTATCTACCGGGAAGCCCAAAGGGAGGGCTGAGGGGATCCACTGACGAGCCGAGCCCCTCGCAGCTGTGTCATGTGGGAACAGATTCTCGACGAAACGCGCGTGGCTGGGCTTCTAGTTAGCACCCGTGCTGTCAGTTTGCTAAATAGTCATAGTCCTAGTTCTTAGTATTAAACGACTGACATAGCACTGGGATCGTTTACCTGAGACAAGAGGTCGTCAACTTTGTGGATTGCAATCTTCTTTAGTTTCTTCTCATCCTGTAGCCGCTTCTTGAGCGTATCTACGTCGCGCAGTGACTTGTCTGCTTGCTGCTTCTTGGTTCTTGCGTGTTGTTCTAACTCCTCTTGCATTGCCTTAATCGTCTTATCCTTCTCTGCAATATCGAGCATCTGCAACAAAGGGCAAGTTTGTATGAGAAAAGAGAAGCTCGAATAGGTGCTTCTTCAACTGAACATTTTAAACTTACCAGTTGGTCAATATGCATTTGCTTAATGGTTGCCATTTGCTTGTCAGTGGCTGCCTTGCGCTCCGCGGCATTTCGCTTCTCGATTTTGTCTTTAAGCTGTAATATCAAACAAAGATTGGTGTTAGGTTGTTTATTTATCAGTCTTGGTATTAAAAATAGGCTGTAGTGCATCCTTCATAATATAACTCTTATTCACTTATTACTTATTCGAAATCCCTAACATCGGCAAGGCACTCTGGTAGGCATGACATAAGGATCCGTGTATAAACTGCCTATATTTATACAGGGATGGGTTCATACCCATTTCCAGTTACCTTCACCTAATGTTTTCACCGGAAGATGGTGGCTGTAGGAAGGGAAGGGGGTGGAGTAGGCACAATGGAAGTCACTGCAGCGTCCAGCTCTTGAGAGAGTGTTAGGCCTTGTCTCTTTCATCGATCGAACAACCAGTATAAAGACGATTTTAATGTCTTTAAGAAGAAACCCAAATCATTTGTACCGTTAGATTCCGTTTGCAACGAAAATCAATGGGACTGAGGATTTCAACTTTTCAGTGTTTTGGCTAAGCATTCTGCTAACTGGCGTTCTTGGGGGGTCAGACATACACTTTAAGCAGTAAAGTTACCAATTCATTTAGTTATTTTACTCATTATAAATACATTCTTTAATGGAGCCGAAAGGAGTTAAAAGTTGGCTACAAACGAGCATGGTCTTGCCAAAGACCAGTATAATTTAAAATTAGCCTTTTACGGGATATGTCGCGGAGTAAAAGGGTTCACTTTTCTCTAACTATGAAAATTGACCCCTACAACAGAAAGCAAACTCTTTCATAATGCAAAAGTCAAATGTTACGGAGGGTGGTAAATGGTTTCCGAGCGAACTAATAAATGTACCTCTTTGTCGAGCAGACGTCGCAAATCATTAAGTTCCTTTTCAGTTGATCCCAGATATTCGCGAAGTTTGCTCATCTCTTCGTTGAGCATTCGTACCCGTTGTTCAGACAGCATACCCAAGCGCGTGACCTGAGATTTGCTCTTGTTGCGCTGGTCCTCGACTGCTTTCAACTGTAAGATTTGGATCAGTGTTAGACGCTTATTAAAGGATCAGTAGCAAGTTAGGTTTAAAGTGTCCGCTATCGGGCTTTAACTGTCATACTGCTGTAGGTTTGTAAGTGCGGAAATAGTCATTTGTCTCTCTGTCCCAAAAAACGAACTTTCAGCAGGGTTATGGCATCAATAAAGATTAGGATCCAAATTTCGAATGCTTCTTCTAGTCAACTAAATTTATTTGAAAGTAGACCGTGAAATATGAGAAGCTCGGAGAACGAGAAATGTTTGCCGAATTTTATTCGTTTGAGACCAAGTGGATATGTAGTGACTCTGTAGCCCTGCGTCCTCCCAACGGGTCACGTCACACACGAAGCCACGTGATGTCGGTCTCGTTCATCCGGCCTCGGCTGCCGCAAGCTGCGTCAACGCTCGATCCCCCATAATGGCTAACTTGCGCATACACCAACGCAACCTTTGGCCTCTCGTGACTAAGCGCACATTCACACTGATGTCAGCCTATCCTGGTTTGGCCAATTATTTCTTTCAGGCTGATTCACACAAAGGCCGTTTTGAGAGGCGTTTATGACGACCCCACGCTCTCAGGCTTCAGTTATCCACCTCACGGGTCAACTTCTTTTAGCCTATTCTCCATTCACTCTGTACAGAATAAACTCTGGCCTCCCGCTTCTTCACCGTCCTACAAGGAACGGGGCCTGAAGATCGTAGTGGCAAAGGTTTTACATTATTAGCTTAACGCTCTGCGATGGATACCCTATTCTGCAGTTTCTGGCTCAGAATCCTCTACCTTCGAAAATTGTGGAATATGTTAAGTACAGGTTCCGTTCTGAGTCATTTCACTGCAAAAGCCTCTGCGTTGGTGAACATACG